CGAATGGGGCTTGAACTGTCCACTGTCTCCATGGACACGAGTCACCTTCCCCCAGATTACTCGGGTTTGGCTTGCCACCAGGAGTCACTGTGCTGTTTTTTGCTTTGTACAGAGAAGCACAACTGTGGGAGGCCACCTGCCCGCGAGCTAAGCACCCCCCCAGCCCTGAGTAAAGGGGCTGTTGGCCTGGCACCGCAGCGCTGTGCGAAGCCAGTGGCCTTCACCTTCGCTGGGCAAAGAAGTATGCTTCAGCTCTGGTCTTGGGCGTTACCCAGTGGGATTGGACAACCCCCTTTAAAACCTTATCACCTGCCTTATTTGGTGAAGAACATTCTGTCGAAACTCCTTTGTGTGTCCCCCCCGTAAAAATAAAGAGAGTCCGGGTGCACGCACTCTTTTCCAGCGCCTTCCAGCGTGGAAGCTGATCCTTGAGGTCGCAGAGCCATCCCACCCTCCATATGAGAACTACTTCTGTGTCCTGGGCTTTCTTTTCTTAGCTCAATGCTGCGGCCACTCTTTGGAACCCAGCTCATCTCCTCAGCACGGGTCTCTGGTGAGACACATCTGTGCCCCGGCAGAATGAGTTCTATCTCTGACATCAATGCCTTCAACTTTAAGGGGGGCTGTGTGTGTTCCCTTTGGCTCCAGAGACCTCTCTCACAGCCAGCTAACTTGGCCTTGCATCCCGCCTGCTGACAGGTTGCCTTCTGAAAGTTCTATTCCCAGCAGGCTCCACAGGCTCCAAGTAAAATTTGAAAAATGGACTGGGGATGTAGCTCAGTGGTAGAGCACTGGCTTGGTATGCACGAGCCCTGGGTCCAATCCTCAGTTAAAAAAAAAAAAGAGAAATATTAAATATAATGGAACTAGGGTTGTGGCTCAGTGGTAGTGTGCTCACCTAGCACACGTGTTCGATTCTCAGCACCACATAAAAATGAAATATATTGTGTCCACCTACGACTAAAAAATAAATACTTTTTAAAGTATCAAGTTTAGGGTATAGCCATCTTTGTACCAATATAACTTTAAATTATATATTTATTTTTTGGTACTGAGATGGAACCCAAGGTCCTGTGCATGCTGAGCACCTGCTCTACAACTGAGCGACACCCCCAGTCCCTAATTCTGTCCTTTTGCTCTTTTGGTTTTTGTTTTGTTTTAATGAAGGAAGGGGCCAGAAAGGTCTAATGCCAGGCAACCAGGCAAGTTATCACGTGGTTCTGCTCTGAGGAGCACAGTTGTCACTGATTCCCTGCTCTGGTTGGGGCAAAGCTGTCCCCTCCCCACCACGGTTTATGGAATCATGATGAGAGAAAAATGGAGCAAGAACAGAGCAAATGGGAGAGGAAAAGGGCCGCAGAGAGAAGAGCCTGGAAGGGAAGAGACGCTGAGTTTGCAGAGGAGGGGAGGCATGTGATGAACCCAGCCTAATTCCATCTTCAGATTGGGAGCCACCTCGTCACAAAGTGATGAAAAGTTCATTTCTGTTTTATTATAAAATACTAAGATTTTTATTTGTCCCGACAACCTGATGTTTAAACTTGTTTGAAATTCCTGCCCGGGCTCCAAATTCACCCATGCCTGGCTTTCTCTGACCAGATAACAACCCTCCCTAAAACCTCAGCGGCACCTCAAAATTCTGAAGTTGGAATCTCAATTTACTCCCTACCTTAAAATGTTACGCCATGTAGATCATTACCCTGCTATCTGCCTTTGTATTATGCTTGCCAGAATCCTGTTAGCTGTGCGTTCCCAAGACACCCCCCCCCCTTTGTAACTTTTCATGCTATAAAAACTTTTACCTGGAGAGCTGGGGCTGATCTCTAGCCTGGCTTTGGGAGAGACAGTCGCTGGCCTGCTTTTGTGTACACAGTACAACCTTGCTTTCATTTGATTTAAAATTGGAGTTGGTGGTCTTTTTTTTGCTTCCTGGTTAACTCATGAGGTGGGAGGGGTCTGGAGACAAGGAGTGGTGTCCTGCAGGAAGTCCAATGGGAGTGTCAAGTGAGGATGGTCAGGACAAGGGGAAGGTCCTGGCACAATTATGAGAACCTTGAATGCCAAGGCCAAGAATTTTCCAAGGGCCATTTGTCTTCTGTAGGAGATTTGCTGTAACAAATCTCCACAAACTTGGTGACTTAAAGCAACAGAAATGTATTCTCACACAGTTCTAGAGACCAGAATTGGAAATAGGTAGCCATAAGGTCATAAACAACATGTCCTCTTCTCTGTGTCCCTATAAAAAGAATGTTTGGAATTGCATTAGGGCCCACCCTGATCATCTAGGGTAATCTCTCCCTTCAAACCTTAATCTCATCTTCAAAGACTTTCCATTCAGGTTACAGTCACAGATTCCAGGATTAGTACCTGATAATCTGTGGGGACCACTATTCCACATACTGAAGGTTCACAGAGGCAGCACAGCTTCAGAGGCCTGTGGCCTGAGCCTGGCGTTCACAAACCAGGACCCTCTGGAGAGCAGTTCACTCTGCCCAGGCCGTTGGTATAGAGGGGAGCAGGTTCTGCAGTGAAGGGGTAGGAATGTGGAGGCTCCACTGGAACTGGTGAGGAAAGCACTGGGGACCACCTTGGTGATGGGGAGTTGAGAGGGCCCCTCCCCTACTTGGATGCCGTGGCTAATCTGAGTTCTCACTTTATTTTTTAAATTTTTTTAATCCATTAGTTCCAGGTGGAGTTTATTTAAGAAATGTGGTCCACTTCAACATCAGTAACTTAATAATTCACTATATGATAATAGACATTCAGAATAAACAAAAATCACTTTTCATTTTAAATGCACTTGATAACATTTAACATGGATTAAAAATAAGGATGCTGCAATAACCAGGGGTCTAAAGAAATTACATAAAGGAAATAAAAGGCTACTCCAAATTCTAGAAATAACATACCAGCCCTGATGAACAACTAAAGAATATTATAAGTCAATATTAAGTGAATAACATTATTATATAATATTAAGTGAATAACAATGGCTATTATTACTATGAGTACTTATTATTGACTTAACATTTTTTATTTGATAAAAAAATAGCAGGAAAATTACAAGAAAAGCTTAGAAAAGAAGTGAAACTGTACTTTTGCTGTTATTAATGTAGTTATATAACTTAAAAGCATAAAAATTTACTTAAGTAATATACTTTGATATGAGATAAGAGTAATAAAGAATAGCTTTTCCTCTAGATTAGCAATAACTACCCAGAAATACAAAACAGAAAATTTATAGTAGAAATATTAAATACAAAATAATTAAAAGGAGGAAAGACTATCACTACATGAAATGAAATTACCATAACATTTTCAGTTTACAGAATATTAATATATTGAGTTCTCCCTTTAATCTGCTGTTCAGTACATAATCAGAGAGCAGCCAGCCCTGATCCTCAGCAAGCTCCAAGTCTAAGCCCAGGAGCAACAACGGCATTGTCCTAAGATACCCTAAGGGCAGATGACACCACCCTTTTCAGGTGGGACAATGGAAGCCCAGAAAGGGGGGCTGCTTTTATCCAGAGTTGGGCTGCAGCCAACTCAGCAGGAGATCCTCAGTTTCCTCTGTTCCCTACCCCAGCATCTTCCAGCACCAACTTCCACCATTTGGTCATCTGTCTTGTTTCCTCTCTGCATTTCAATAAAAGTGAAATAGCAGCACTCAGTTTCATCTTAAAAGAGCTTGTACAGGGGCAAGGGTTGTGGCTCAGTGGCAGAGCGCTCACCAAGCACGTGCGAGGCCCTGGGTTCGATCCTCAGCACCACATAAAAATAAATAAATAAATAAAATAAAGATATTAGAAAACAAAGAGAGAGAGAGAGAGAGAGAGCTTGTACAGGAAGTGTCTGTCCCCAGTTGTACACTTGTGGTATCTGTAGAGCTGGCAGGTGGGACCCAAGAGGAAAGACCCCTGGAATCAGAGGGCACTGTTGCTCATTCAGTATCAAGCACTCATTCCAGGTTGGAGAAAGGTGGAACAGGTACCAGCTCTGCCCTCTGGGGCACCGACCGTGGCAAGCTCCTTCCTTAAAACAGAAAAGCTGCTGTGAAACTCTGGGTCTCTGAAAGATGGGGAGCCTCCTGCTAGGCCTGGGATCCCAAAGCCAACGCTGAAACGGAAAAACAAAACAATAAAATGGGCTTGGACGTGGAGGGATCTTCTAGTCTCAAATTTGCTTCTTTCTGTGTGGTTTTATGCAAGAAACTCAATACCTCTATTAGCCTATTTCCTTGTCTTTAAAATGGGTGTAGAAATAGCTGGCGTTAAAATGGGTGTAGAAATAGCTGGCAAAGAAGACAATTACTCAAGTGCCCGGGAGTTTAGCAAGTCTTCCCTGACGATCTTTACACGGAACCTGCTCTGAGCTAACAGCGCCAGCTCCCAGGGCGGGCCCGGAGCCAGAGTCTTCAGCCCCCACCATTCCCGCGGGCCATCTTCCAGGGCCTGTGCCTCCCCAAACCTAACGTCCCTAGGGCCCTGGCACCGCAGACAGGGAGGTGTTCGTGGAGTGAGGCGCACACGGGGCGATCTCTGGCATTCTAGGCCACCAGACCGCGACTTCCTTCCACAGACACCCGGGTGAGCCCCAGCCCCGGAGCGGGCTCCCGCCGCGGGCTCCTGAGGCCTGGTTTGCACCTGCCGGTGCCTCCCACGCGCGAACTGGGGGGCTGAGCGCTCAGAGCGGCCCGGCCCACGCGGAGGGCGGGGCGAGCCGGGGCCTTTGTGTTCAAACCGGCCAATGGGTGGTGACGGTGGGCGGAGACGGCCGGCGGAGTCTGGCCAATGAGCTTCGGCCTGTCAGCGTTGACTGACGGGCGCACACATACACACTCGGCCACGCGCGCGCAGCCTGGCCCCACTCGCGCAACGCGGGCCTCCGCCAGCCGCATTGTCCGCTCGCCCGCCCGTCACCGTCCGGTCCCGCGACACTGCTCCGCGCCCGCCGAAGCCCCGGACCCCGCCGCTGTGTCGGACCTGCGCGGGGCGCCGCCCGCGAGATCCCGACGCAGGAAAGGGGCGCGCCCCGGCGGCGCGACGGGCCTCGGACGCCCGCGGCCCGGTACGGAGCAACCGCGGCAGTAGGTAACCAGGGTGGTGGGTCCGCCTCCCCTCGGCCCTGGGCAGGGCTGACCGCCGAGCCACGGTCGGGTCGCTCCCGCCCGGGCAGAGCTGCCAGGCCTGCTTCTTCCTCTCGGGGCCGAGCTGGGCCAGGCTCCAACCCCGCCGGGCGCACGCCCCTGGGCTGGTCGGGCAGGGCCGGCGAGGAGCCAAGGCCAGCGACCTGACTCATCCTGCCCCGCCGGCCCCCGCCCCCAGGGCTGGCCGCCCCACTGGTCAGCCGGGAGGGCGGTGTCTCCGGGCGGGACTTCCCCGCGCAGCCTCCCGGGAGGAGGAGAGCAGAGACCCGGCTGCCCCAAACCGGCCCAGGGCAGTGCCAGAGAGGCCAGGTCCAGGGACTGGCAGTTCCCGGGCAGTGACGCCTGTCAGAACTCTGGGAATAGGAAGGAGGCCGGTAGTGCTCAGTTCTAAAACAAAAACAAAACAAAACAGCCAGTGTGGGGGGCGGGGGCGGGGGCGGGGCGGGGTGTGACTTCAGTAAGCCCACCTTCTTCCCTGATGCGGGTTGGGCGTGTGGGGCGTGAAGGGAGAGGACAGTGAGCCCCCGGAGCGCCTTGCACGTCCCAGTGGAAATGGAGTGTGAATAAGCAGAGGAGTGAAAACGTCAGGTGCAAGGTGTCCCAGATCTAGGTTAAATCTCAAGATCGGATGGATTTTGCCTTTTACATTTGTGATGGGGGAAGAACTGAGAAAAGAATGTAATTCTGCTCAGAAGTGTGGAATGGAGTTTTATTTGAGGGTTTCTTAACTGGTTGTATATGAGGGGAGTCTTGATATGCAAAAGATTTGGACTCCTAGAGGCTCACCTCTCCTTTGGGAGGATGGGGTCTTGACCTTTTCTATCTTGTGAAATCCAAACTGAAGGGTAGAGTGTTCTGTGATGGCAGGAAAGGCTGCCATCGGTGCCTGGCAGTCAGAATGTGAAGATTCTTGCCAAGCAGAGTCTGGGTACTGTATAAACATGTGGCTTTGTGTCTGCCCCTGAGCTGGAGGCTTCACCCTGCAGCAAAGCAGGGGTTAAGAGGAGGAGCCCCTGTGAGCTGTCAGGTGGGGGAGGGCAGTGTGGGGTGGAACTACCTTATAAGGAGTGGAATACAGCCCAGGACCCAGGCCAGCTTCCTGCTTTGGCTACTACCAGTTGGTTACTTTACCAACACCAGCCAAAGCCAGGGATGGTGCCAGATGGGCATCCCATCTGGGAAGATGCCCATTAGCCCAGACAGAAAGCTGCTTATTTTTTAAAAGAGGAGGTCCTAACTGGACAGACCTGATCTTCTGGTTTACATAGTCAGAGTTGGGGTGTGTTAGTGTATGCCCACCATGTGGCCCAGAGAACTAGTGATTTTGGTGTGAACCAGGAACATCAGAAGTGATAAATGTCACAAGTACCATGAGCTCTCCAATGGGTTTGGGATATTAACAGTTACTTTGTAGTCCTGCCTGCCAAGAGGCTATGTTGGAACTCCTCACTTCAGTAATCCAAGATTTGGAATCTGGGTGTCCAGAGCTGAGAGCCTTAATCTTGCTCATGTGGTGGAATGCCCTCTGGCCAGCCTTGCCACTTTGACCTCTTTTATCCTCATTATCAGCTTCTGAGCCTTGCTTTCAGCCTCACATGGCCCGAAAACTGGGACTGAATGTAATGCCATCCTGTGGTGCCACTTCCCCCTGTGTCGTTAGTTTGAATATTTGTTGGGTAATCATGCAGTTTACAGCCTGTTCTGAGTGTATGTGGGGCTATAGAAGATTCTAGTTGGAAGACCCAACACATTCTTAAAACAACCTGCAAACTTTTTGGTGGAGTAGAAAGACCCAGGCCCTATGACCTGTCAGGTCTGAGCTCAGATCTTCTCTGTCACTTGTAAGCTGGGTGACTGGGGCAAGTTACCCATCATCTTAGCGTCCCAGGTTCCCCCCTTGATAGGTGGGAGTGATGATACCCACCTCCCTTGTGGGATCACAAAGGGAGACTGGTGCCAAGGAGGCATTTTTCAAAAAATCTTATCGAGTCACATCAGGAAGAGGGGCATGTCGTGCCTGGAGAGGTGGAGTGTGAGCAGTCGCAATGTGGGAGGCTCTACTGGAGTGGGCTTTTTGGAGTCAGGAATGACCAGGGACTCAATAGTGTGGCTAAGGGGGAGCCCCCTCTGGAGGGAATCAGTGAGCCTGAAGCCAGACCCGCTCTAGGGAGAGGACAGTGCTGTGGGCAGCTAGGCTGGAAGCACCAGGGAGCCCCAGCACCTGGCTGGTGCCTGCCCTGTGCCAAGTTCTCTGCTGCATGTCGGAGGCTGAGGAGGCCCAGTTCTGGCTGTGTGCTGCCAAGCGTCAAGGAGGATCAAGGCAAACCGCATAAAGGCATAAAGCCCTGTGGAAGTTATGGTGGAGGCCCCAGGATGGCCCAGGGAGCCCCAAGGCAGGGCACAGTGACCACTGTGTCTTGGCCACACTGCAGGACCTTCACCTGAATGCAGGAGGCTCTGTCCTTCGTGGTGAGGCAGTGCCTGTTTCTCCTCCCTCAGGGACAGCCCTGAGCCTCACGTGCCATCCTTTCTTTCCCAAGACTTCTTCAAGGGACAGGCACATCCCCCCTCGCCATGTCCCGACGAAGCCAGCGCCTCACTCGCTACTCCCAGGGCGATGACGATGGCAGCAGCAGCAGTGGAGGGAGCTCGGTGGCAGGGAGCCGGAGTGCCCTGTTTAGGGACGGTCCTCTCAGGTAGGGCGCAAGGGGCTGCACGGCCCTGTCCAGGGCACGGCCCCCAGAGCAGGCGGCTCTTCCTGCTGCAACCTTCAGGGTGGCAGATGCCCATGTGAGGTCAGGGGTTCTGCCCTCTCCACCCATGTGAGAGGTGCTGCTCCCCCGCTGCCTAGTAACAGGAAGTGGGCAGAGGCAGCTTCAAGCTAAGCCAGGCCGGAAACCCCAAAAGTGCAGGCAGGGCTCACAGCACCCCTCCACCCTGGAAGGGTGTGGCAGGCTGGCTATCCTTCTCACACCCACACCCACGCGTCTCACCACCTGCAGGGCCTCAGCAGCTGCCTGGCAACTCAGGAGCAGTGACTGCCTGCCTCGTCCTGCCCCTTACGGTCGTAGGCCCCGAGGCTCTGGGCTGCTCTAGGAGGCCAGGCTGGGCCTGTCAGGTTTGGGGCGGGCTGTTGCATTAAGAAGCTCGGGAAAGAACTTTGACTTTGAAGTTAGAGATCTGGCTCCATTCTCACTGATGCACTTGCCTGTCTCCTGTGAAATTTAGAGCTAACAGGAGCAAAGAGAGTACCTAGGGTTGGGGGTGTGGTGGCTCCGTGGTAGAGTGCTTGCCCAACATGTAGGCCCAGGTTCTAGCCCCCACTGCCAAAAAAACCAGGTGACAAAGACGGAAGGAAAAGATAACACCCGCATGAGTCGGCTGCCCCGGAACAAGGCTGACCCTGGGGAGAGGAGGCGCCAGGGCTGTGGCTTCGTCTGGAGTTCTGGCTGGGCTCACCACCCTGCTCCCTGCTTTCCCCTCGTGACTGTCCCCAGGACCGTGAAGAGGAAATCCAGCAACATGAAGCGCCTGTCCCCAGCACCACAGCTGGGCCCCTCCTCTGACACCCACACCTCCTACTACAGCGAGTCCGTGGTCCGGGAGTCCTACATCGGCAGCCCCCGGGCGGCCTCCCTGGCCAGGAGCGCCCTCCTTGACGACCACCTGCACAGTGAGCCCTACTGGAGTGAGTGTCCCAAACCTTCCTCCTGGGGCTTTGCTTCCTCCCAGCTCCCCCCTAGTGTCCCCTCATGGGACATGCTTGTTGAAGCACCCTCTGCGCAGCCCAACGCGCTAGGGCACTGCAAGGCCTAGAAGAGCCCATTCCTCCCTGGCCAGGTGGGGACCTGAGGGTGAGGAGGAGGAGAGGCACCGGAGGCACCGAGAGCAGCCAAGTCAACGGGCTGGCAGAGAGCAAGGTCTCTGAGGACTTCCTGGGCTCCTCCTCCGGCTACTCCTCTGAGGACGATTTTGTGGGTAGGTGGGGCCTCCAAGGGAAGCTGGGCAGGGGACACCCTGACAGCACGAGAGGGTGTGGTGTGGGGCATCCCTCCTGCGCCCAGCACTCCCTGAACCTGTCTGGGGTGGCCCCTCATGCACTGGGCCATGCACTTTGTCCCACCCCCACTGGTGTGTGAGCAACCCAAGGCCAATGGCTCTGTGTTTTGCCCGTTTCAGCAGTTCAGTGTGAGCCCTGCACATAGTGGGTACTTCACATAATATTTGTTAGATGCACGAGTGGTCCCTTTTGTCTAGTTCTGAACAACAGAGTGAGGGATTGTGGGTGAGGAGAGGCCGCCAATCAGAAAGCTCTGGTGGGAGAGAAATGTCAGAAGCCTCCCATGCCACTCCGCCCACAAGCATTTCCCCACCTACTGTGAGCAGGCCCGTGTGACGCTCTGGGGATGTGAAGGAGATGGCTCAAGTAGATGGTCAGGCTCCATATCCCCAGAGGAGGCTCTTAAAAGGGCCCAGGAGCTGGGCAAGATGGTGCATTCCTGTAATCCCAGCAGCTCAGGAGGCTGAGGCCAGAGAATTATGAGTTTAAAGCCAGCCTCAGCAATTTAGCAAGGCCCTGAGCAACTTACTTAGCAAGATTCTGTCTCTAAATAAAATATTTAAAGAGGGCTGGGGATGTGGCTCAGTGGTTAAGCGCCCCTGGATTCAATCCCTGGAACCAAAGGGAAAAAAAAGTGCCCAGGGGCTGAGCTGGTTTCCTCCCGTGTTCCCCTGCAGGCTACTCGGACACAGACCAGCATAGTTCGGGGTCTCGGTTGAGGAGTGCTATCTCTCAGGCCGGCTCCTTTGTCTGGACAGTGGTCACTTTTCCAGGTGGGTGCCGGCTGAGTGTGCTCAGTGCCTCCTGCTCTCCACGGCAGTGACTTCATGCTGGGCACCAGGCCCGACAGAGACAGGTCATTCTAGGATAGTTACTGGGGGCCAAAAGACCTGGGGACAGGGGGTGTGGAGCAGCAGCAAAGCAGAAGAGGGTGCACTAGTATGGGGTGCGGGGGGCAGAAGGGGACCACAGACAGAAAGGGTGAAGTGCCGCACACGGCCTCAAGTCTTAGGCTCCGTAGCTGCTTTTTCAGGCCGGATCTTTGGACTTCTCTACTGGTGGGTTGGCACCACCTGGTACCGCCTGACGACAGCTGCGTCCCTCCTCGATGTCTTCGTTTTAACCAGGTGAGCGAGTCTCCAGCCTTGACAGTGAATCAGAACGCCCTGGGACTGAAGGAGCAATGCCCCATCTTAACCCAGGCGTGGCGATCCCCCGGTTTACCTGTAGCTTTCATCTGGGAGCAGGAAGTGCCCCCCAGAGCCCAGGACTGCCAGAAATGGGTGGTGCGCAGAGGCAGGTTTTGTTCCTTCGGGACAAAACTGTAAACCACAGATTCTTGTATCCTGGACACGTCCTACTAAGTGCCACCCCTCCAGCCGCTTCTGATGTATTTGTTAGATGCACGAGTGAGTCTCTGAGAAGGCTTGTGCTGGTGATGCCTTGAGGCCCTAGCTCAGCCGTGAGGTTCCCAGATAGTCCAGCTTCCCTTTGGGGCCTCTGACAGTCCAGACAGGTTTGCCTGCTTGTGTTCAGAAGCCACAAAGAGATGGTGCCTGAGGATGCTGTGAGTCCTCCCTCAAGTTCCCAGACCAGCAGGACCACGGTTTGGGAACTTGTTTCCCTTGGCAGAGGAAAGAAAATTGGACCAGAATCAGGATCCTTCTGTCCATGATCAGGTCAGGGCAGGCAACCAGCAATGCCAGGAAGAGGGCCAAGGACTGGTGCATGTCACCAATAAAGGTTCCTTGTTCTAGAAGAAAATATTTGTGTATAGGGAGTTACATATTATTTTCTATATTTGCTTGCTTACAGGGTCTCTCTTTACAAAAATGTTTATAGATGTCTCTGAGCCCACACTATTTATTGTCGGTAACATCCATAAGATTCCTAGAGTCAAAATTGTCCTCATCACTTCATGACCAGTGGATAAGGCTGGTGTCCAGTCTGACCCTGACCCCATGAAAAGCTCACAGGTTGCTCACCTCAACCCTAGTTCAGGGTTCAGAAAGCCTCCGGGGCTGTCTGGGGGTCAGAGGCCCGCTCCTCATGCTTCCCTCCGTCTGCCTGCCCACCACCCAGGCGCTTCTCCTCCCTGAGGACTTTCCTCTGGTTCCTGCTGCTGCTGCTGCTCCTGACAGGCCTGACCTATGGTGAGTCAGGGTGGGAAGTGCCAGGGGGCGGGGCAGAGCATGGCAGATGCTGGGCTAGCGGCCAGTGTGACAGACAGGGACTGGGCAGAGCTCTGGGCCTGAGACCCTTCTCGCCCGGCCTCCACCATGTCCTCCACTGACCCGTGCTGCCCCTTCGTGGGGTGTCCCAGGCAAAGGGAAGAGGCCCAGTCTACTGATCTTGCGCTAAATTGGGACAGCCACATGGCAGTTCAGGGTGCCTTGAGAACATCGCCCTTGGCAGAACACACCCAGGACAGCTGTGCTGGGTGCAGCAGGAGCTCGGGGCTTTTATTATTAGCAGTCACTTCTCCTCCTGTCTGGGGCAGGACAGAGCCGTGCAAGCAGACCCATCTCACAAGACCAGGCTAGGGCTTTAGCTGTCCTGAAGGTAAGAACAAAGCAGTACACTATGGTGTAGCCACCTGGTCACTTACCTGGGACTCTGCAGGTTCCAGTCTTGGCCGCGGGACTGTCCCATTCACGTTTCATTTTGTGTGGGCAATTTTACCCGAGTTTCCTGATTTCACGGGACTTACCTATGTGGTCTGAGACTCACTTTTTTTTAGTTGTAGATGGACACAACACCTTTATTCTTATGTGGTGCTGAGGATCGAACCCAGCGCCCTCCACTGAGGCGAGCTCTCCACCACTGAGCCCCAGCCCCAGCCCGAGACTCACTCTTAATGACTGTGTCAACTTCTAAATATTTTTTAGAGTTGGTTTGATAGGCTTAGCATCTATTCAACTTGTATTTCTTTTATTAATATCAGGCAGAATATTTTCCCACCATGTTTTCTCTTTGCTTCCTGTTGCAAGAACAGCTTGTGCATACCCAGTGGGGCCTGGGCATTACCCTAAAAATAACCATGGTCCTTGGTAATCGCTTACCACTTTACCTGGAGAACCTTTCCCCAGACACCATCTCCCTGTCACGTGGAGATGCAGGTGGAGAGGGGTGCATGTCTGGGTGACACATGTCCACCTGGGACTTCAAGCCCAGAGATCATGTGCTTCCTCTCAGCTGCTCACAGCTGATGACTGAGCTGCCAGGGTGGAGTGACCAGGACGGAGACTTCTCAGCCACTGACTTCTTCAGGCTCACACTCCCCACCCAGCCCCCACTACTCAGGAGTCAACACGTCACAGAGAGGCCACCCCCAAAGTCAGCAGGTGTTTCTGTGGCTGCAGCTGTGCGAGCAGCTGATGCCTCCTGTCCTCCTAGTGTCGTGGTGCACAGCCTGACAGCCCGGTCACCTGGGGAGCTTCTCAAACATACCCTCACCAGGCCCTGAAAGCCAGCTAACTCCCCCTGGAGGGGGCAGCAGGTGCTGGGTGTTTGAAGGCTCCTGGGTGATGAGGCTGTTGGGCCAGACCCAGAACCACTGTCAGGTTCTACCCTGGATCCTCCCTAACTGGCCAGAGCCATTTTGAGTTTTGCCATCGACAGAATAGATGAAGGACCTCTGAGGAGGCCGCGAAGATGAGGATGAGCCTCATGCTGAGGCTCGAGGAAGAAGTGCGGCCTCTAGCAGAGCAGGGCTCCCTCGAGTAACACAGGTCACCATGCCCAAGGTGAGGCCGCCTCTTGCTGCTGGCCCCAGCCTGAGTGACTGTCTTCACCCTGTGCCAGGTGCTTGGTATTTCTACCCCTACGGGCTGCAGACGTTCCACCCCGCTGTGGTTTCCTGGTGGGCAGCGAAGGACAGCAGGAGGCAGCCTGAGGTGTGGGACTCCAGAGGCTCTTCCCCACAGTTCCAGGTGAGTGCAGGGCTGCGCAGACCTCCCCCACCTGCCTCTGCACTTGACTTCGCCCCACGCCCCTCTGTGTTCTGACCCCCCTTTCCCTGCTGTCTGGGGCACAGGTGTTAGGGTGGGGTGGCCTGCACACCAGTATGACTCAAAAGTGTCCAAAATGTAGTTGCAGCCTAAGGACAGAAAACAGAAGGAAAAGTGACCAGCAAATTGCCACCTGCCTTATTCCTTTTCAATACAATGCCATCGTGTTGCCCGTTCAAAGGAGCGGCAGCAGACTGGTGTGCAACGGCGACTTGCTGGCCTTGGCCATCCTGCTGCACTTTGGTCACCTTGCTGGATGTCCCAGGCTTGCTCTCTCAGTAGTTGGGCAGGGTTCCAAGGATGCTGGCCAGACTGCAGGGACCTGCCGGAGGCCACACACTGTCACTTCCATTCTTTTGGTGATGCAGAGCTCAGGGACAGTCCAGATTCAAGGAGACAGAAGAGGAAGACCTCTCGAGGGAGAAGCGGCAGGGTGTGCTGTAGAGGGCAGGCCCGGGGAGAAGCGAGGGTTTGTTGCCAGTTTTATAATTGCCAGTGTATGAAGATGGACAGGCCCAGGCTGTGCCCTCAAGGAGTCTGCAGTCAGTCAACGGGGACAGGAGGATGTGCAGCCAGAACATGGTGTGAGCATGGGTTGCTTAGGATTCTCTGTCCCCATTGGTTGCTATGGCGCCTGCCCACAGTCCCAGTGATAGGAGGCTGAGGCAGGAGGATCCCAAGTTTTTTTTTTTTTTTTTTTTTTTTTAATGTGATGCTGGGGATTGAACCCAGGGCTTTGTGCAAGTGAGGCAAACACTCTACCAACTGAGCTTCACCCCCAGCCCCAGGATTCCAAGTTTAAGGCCAGCCTGGGCAACTCAGTGAGACCCTGTTCCAAAATGAAAAGGGCTGAGAAGTAGCTCAGTAGTTGAGCTGCGGGTTCAGTCTCTAGTACCAAAACAAAACAACATGATCCCCACTATAGTTACTTAAACTTTGCTTACACCTCGCTGACTTTATTTTATATCACATTTTAATCATATATATCCATGGACACTGCTTTCCTCAACATAATTTATTAATTTATAAAATGATGACATATTCTGTCATCTATGACTTCCTTTTTAATTATCAAAGATCACCTTTTCTGCAAAAAGGGGAAGTGAAGCTTGAACACAGCTTCACCTTTGCTTATATTTGAATAAAGACAGCAGATGGGGCTGGACAGGGCGGCCAAGGCGGGGCAGGCGGGGAGAGCTCTGCTTTTATTGGTTTTTTGAGGCCCGTGAACACGCTGCTATGTGAGATGGAACTTCTAAAACTCAGAAGCCCTTCCACCCGTCTGTGAGCCTCTTGCCATTTAACTGATGTTTGACAGATTGCATTTCATAATCTCTCTTGCAAAGATTTTGTTTTGTCAACAATATTCTCAAAATTTGTGACATACTATCAAATGCCACCCTCTGGTCCAAATGACCATTACTCCGCCTTCAGCTTCCCAGTGGGGCACCCAGCTAAAGAGGAGAAGGGAAGGGCTCACTCCCTAGTAGCTAGGGAAGGGGTGGAGCTGAGCACCGCTGTGGCTGGAGCTTTCAGTGCTCATCTCTCCCACCTACACACCTGCCTGGCGGAGGGGACAGGGCAGTGGGCCCAGCAGGTCACTCAGGCCACCCCACCCACACTGACACCTACTACAGCTTCCCATCCTTTATTTGGACCAACCCTATTCTCCAGTCCCCTCCCCTGCCCCCCTGCACCTCCTTGGGTTCTGATTCTTGCAGCTCTCCCTGGGGCCCGCCCTGGGGACCCCCGCCTTCCTATCTGGGAACACCTGCCTCTCCCTGGCATGTACCCCAGCCACAGTCCCAGCCTGAGCTTAGTCACAGTCTTCCTGGGGCTCTCTTCCCTCTCTGCTGGCTCACAGTGGCGTGTGCATGAAGTGTCCTTGTGGGGAGCTCCTGGGTCCCTCACCTCTGTTCCTGCCCTGCCCACCAGGCAGAGCAGCGCATCCTGTCCCAGGTGCACTCCCTGGAGCGGCGCCTGGAAGCTCTTGCTGCTGAGTTTTCCTCCAGCTGGCAGAAGGCGGCCATAAGGCTGGAACGCCTGGAGCTGCGGCAGGGTACCACTGGCCAGGGGGGCAGCAGTGGCCTGAGCCATGAGGACACCCTGGCACTCCTGGAGGGGCTGGTGAGCCGCCGAGAGGCCGCCCTGAAGGAGGACATCCGCAGGGATACCGCCACTCTCCTCCAGGTGGGGAGCAGAGCTGCCCAAGGGTGGGAACTCGGGACCGTGGGCGTTTGGGGTGGAGGGGACCCTGCAGGGTGAGAGAATGAGCACTGATAGGGTCAGCCAGCTCTGCCACTTGGCAGCTTCTCTGTCTAAGCCTCAGTCACAAACAGAACCTGTCCTGGTGGAGGCACCTGGAGCACCAGCCCCTCAGGAGACCCTGTCTCAAAGTAAATAGTTCAAAAGGCTGGGGGTGTAGCTCAGTGAGGGGGCGCCCCGGATTCCATTCCCAGGACAGCAAAACATATTTTAAAATATTGCTTTAAAGAGAAAAATGCAGATGCTGTCTTCTCTTCCCCCAAGCTGTGAGGGGTGTGACGTGGAGCGTGGCTGGGTGCCTGGCGCCACAGGCGTGGTGTGCCATAGAGATCAGGCGGGACTCTTGCCTGTTTCAGAGAAGCACGGTGGCCTATGGCCAAGAGCCGAAGCCCGGGAACCAGAGCCCTGGTTCGGATCCCGGTTAGAACACCTCCTAGTGGCAAGCGCCCCTCCAGCGCTGCTGTCAAATCTTCAGTCCTCCCCTCGTGTCTGACAGGAAGAACTGGTCACTCTGAGGGCAGAACATCACCAAGACTCGGAAGACCTCTTCAAGAAGATTGTCCAGGCCTCCCAGGTTGGTGGGCCGGGGCACGTGGGCCTCTGCTGGGGTCCTGACCCAGTTCCACAACTCTTCTTGATCTGAGAGACACTTGGGACCCCTGGTCCTTGCAGGGACACTGCTGGGTGTGCGTGGGAAGCACGAGGTCTCCTGCCTTCCCTGTGTGAGCGGAACTCACCCCTCCACGGGGAGCACGCTCAGGACCAGGACGGCTGTCCCTGGTTGTGCCCATGCCGAGGGAATGGGGACGTGGAAATAGGAGGGTGCATCAGATGTGGGGCGAGACTCTCAGGACTCTGGCCAAGTGGCCAGTTTGACCTTTGCTGTGAGGAACCCTGGGGCAGAGATGTGGTCAAGTAGGTGCCCAGTGGAGGCGTCGCTCCTCTCTGAGCTCGCTGTTTCTTGTGTCCCTCAGGAGTCGGAGGCTCACATCCTGCAGCTGAGGTCAGAGTGGCAAAGGTAAAGTCCCAGCCATCTGCTCCCCTCCCGCCCAGCCCCAGGTCAGGACCCCTGTGTGCAGCCTGTCTGAGGGGCGGTGCTTAGTAGGGGCTGCTCATGGTGGGAGGTGCCTCTGCAGCAGGACCAAGGTGTGTGGGCTGCCTGTAGCCAGCGTCATTTCTGCCTCGTGCAGGCCACCGCCTCACAGCCCACCGTCCACAGTTGGCGAGGCGAGAGGCTGCACCAGAGCGGGTCATGGGATCAGATCTGAATTAGCTCTGGGACAGGGGTGCCACCCTCTGGCTTCTGGGCTGTGTCCTACAAGTCACTCTCTAAGAGCAGGCCCTGCTTAGTGGGCACCACTGTATGACAGAAGCCAACCAAGGGTTCCTCTTTCTTCCTCTCTCTGGGACTAGGATGACCCAGGAGGCCTTCCAGGAGAAGGCGATGAAGGAGCTGGGGCGGCTGGAGGCCCAGTTAGCCAGCCTGAGGCAGGAGCTGGCAGCTCTGTCCCTGAAGCAGAGCGTTGTGGCAGATGAAGTGGGCCTGCTGCCCCAGAAGATTCAGGCTGCTCGCGACGACGTGAGTTGGAACCATCTGAGGGCCCTGCCAAGCACCCTTTGCTCTGAGTCCATCTGCCCTGGGGTCTGCACAGCAGGAGCCTCCTGCCCCGGCCTGTTATCTCCAGGGTACCACTGCAGAGCTGGACTCGGCACAGGCCTGGGCCTGCCTGGCAGGAGTGCCTGCTTCTCCTGGATGCCCAGGGATTGTGGTTCATCAGCCTTTCCTCCAAGGGCCTCCCTCCCGCCCAGCCCTGCTCCCCAGCTAACTACCACCCCGCCTGGCCTGGCTTTGCCACAGCAGCCTCTGCTACTCCTGCAAGCCTCTTAGTAACACCATGTTTTGTCCCTAGGTGGAATCTCAGTTCCCTGCCTGGGTCAGTCAGTTCCTTCTCCGAGGTGGAGGCACCCGCGCTGGCCTCCTCCAAAGAGAGGAGATGCAAGCTCAGCTGCGGGAGCTGGAGAGCAAGATCCTCTCCCACATGGCGGAGATGCAGGGCAAGTCGGCCCGGGAAGCCGTGGCCTCCCTGGGACTGACGCTGCAGAAGGAAGGCGTGGTCGGGGTCACAGAGGAGGTGAGGAGCAGGCACCCCACAGACACGCTGCTGTTCTCACTGGGAGCTGGAGGACTGGGAGGTCTCAGACCCCAGCTCCTCACTTCCAGGACATAAGTGGCATGAGGAAGCTCTGACATTTGCCTTGGGCCCAGTGGAGGTGGGTGGAGGTGGCACCCATACCTGCCTGGGTGCCAGCATGGCACAAGCCTAGAGGGTCAGTCCACTATGGCAACAGGATGGGGCAGGCTCATCTCCTTCCCATGGTGACTGCGTCCTGGGCCGTGCTTTAGCAGGTGCACCGGATCGTGAAGCAGGCCCTGCAGCGCTACAGCGAGGACCGCATTGGGATGGTGGACTACGCCCTGGAATCAGGAGGTGTGTGCGCCACCTCCTCCACGTGCCTTGTCATGGTCCCCACCCACAATAGCTGGGCCCCAAATCAGCACATGTCACCCAACACAGACTCTTCACCAAGGCAGGGATGGCTCAGGGAAGCAGGAGGTACCCAGGCATCGGAGGGGTGGTATCTCAGCTGCTCCCTGGGTCTGGGCTAGGGCAAAGGCTGGGCCTGGGCACCTGCCCTGTCCTCAGTGAGGAGACAGGCAGTGGCAGCCTCTCCTGGCGGCTCCAGCCTTCATGCCAGGGCTCCTGTGGCTGGCAGCCTGAGCTGGTCGTCTGGGTCTTCCCCTGCAGACACCCACCCTGTCCTTCTTTTCTGTTTCAGGGGCCAGTGTCATCAGCACCCGATGCTCCGAGACCTATGAGACCAAGACAGCCCTCCTCAGCCTCTTCGGCATCCCCCTGTGGTACCACTCCCAGTCACCCCGTGTCATTCTTCAGGTAGGCAACAGGGCTCAGGGCACGTTGGGATGTGGCCCCCTTCTCCAGTCAGCCAAATTGGACTTGGGGCCTCATACTGATTTATCTTCTCTCCACTCCAGCCAGATGTGCACCCCGGTAACTGCTGGGCCTTCCAGGGGCCCCAGGGCTTTGCCGTGGTCCGCCTCTCTGCACGCATCCGCCCCACAGCTGTTACCTTAGAGCATGTACCCAAGGCACTGTCACCCAATAGCACCATCTCCAGTGCCCCCAAGGACTTTGCTGTCTTCGTGAGTATCAACCAGTGTGGGGCTGGAAGGGTTGTAGGAGTGTCCTGTGGGTATCTGCCGAGATTCCAGCTGGGGTCACTGGCTGGGAGGAAGGGAGTGGACTTGGAAGAAGTGGAGCCAGGGACGGCACGTCAGTCCCAGTCATCTCAGGCTAGGGGAAGAAACCACGGCATGTGCTATTAAGTGATCATCACTGGATACAGAGAAGTCCTGTGGTAGCCATTTCCAGTGCCCAGACCCCTTGCAGCTCCTGGGGGATCCTGTCTGACCTGCAGAGTGGGAGGGAGTCACACTCTCACTCCCTGCCTCTCCCCTCCATCCTGTCACCCTCTTGCAGGGGTTTGATGAAGATCTGCAGCAGGAGGGGACGCTTCTGGGCACGTTCACCTATGACCAGGATGGGGAGCCCATTCAGACCTTCTACTTCCAGGTACAGACCCATGAACTAGTGGGTGCAGCAGATGTCTCCCTGGCACTTACTCTGCCAGGCACAGGGTTCAGAGAGAGATGCAGTCCCTGTTCTGCCCTCCTCAGATCAGGCAGCAGAAGTGGAGAAGTCCAACTTTGTAGATGGCATAGGGGAGTGTCCCCTCTGGAAGGGCACGTCAGGGAAGCTTCCTGAAACGGGGCACTAATGAGGCAAGTTTATGAAAGAAAGATTGGGTTGCCAGGAAAGACAACTGAAGGGCATTCTAGGAGAGAGCAGGGCATGGCCAGCTAGGCTCAGACAGGACCTGTGTCTTAAACTCAAGTGGGCATCAGATCTCCTAGGACCCTTAGGAACAGACTCCAGCCTCCACCCCAGCAGTCTGATTTCTTAGGGCTGATGGGCCCCAGGGACCCGAGTTCAAACACACCATCCAGTGAATTCAAGAAAAGTGAAGAATTAGGTGGGTGAGGGATTGTGAGAGGGGAGAGAGGGGTAAGAGGCAGGAGGAATGGCCTCAGAGAGGCCCTCAGGGCCAGGGGGTGGGTGAGGACGGCATTGCTGTAGGTAACAGTATGATGTGCATTTTTGTTAAGGTCTAAATAGTGACTCCAAGGAAGGCCAGCCTGGAGCCAGGGATCTAATTCAGGAAGTGGTGGTGGGGAACATGCCAGAACTGATCAGGTCTGCACAGGGTGTGGGGGTGAGGATGAGGCAGTGGGAAGGCCTCAGAGCTCAGGCTGGGGGAGAACAGGGGGCAGAGGCAGAGCAGGGGACAATTTACAGGTTACCAGCATTAAGGGTCTAGGAGCTGGTACCCAGAGGGGCTAATGCAGAGCGGGGAGTGGGTTTGCCTACTGTTTTCCCAGTTGCTGTTGAAGGACTAGATGTAAGATGGTTGTCATCAGTTTGGGGATGATGATGGGGTCTTTGCAGGGGCTGGGTTTCTCAGGGTACGGGAGAGGCCAGGGGAGAGGATGGACAGAAGGCACTACACCTGTGGCATCAGGCAGGCGAGATATGCTGCAAATGCTGCCTCAAACATTGTGGCTTTGAAGCACAAAGGACAGGCTGACGGGCACTTGAGAAGGCCCACACCATCATGCACCAGGGCCTCCACAAGGGGAGCTCTAGCTGCTGATAAAGTAACAAAGCAACTGCAGAAGAACTCGACCAGCTCTTGACTGAACTGTGCTGTTCCTCAGCACCAAGACCACTTATATGTGGTCTGAGGGCAGGGCTTAGTGCAGCTCACATGGGTCAGTTGATGGCCAGTGTAGAATATTGGTGTCCCAGAGGGCCCTTGGCCCTTGGGCTGCAAACTCTGTGCCAGGAGGCTGAAGACAGGCACATAAGAAGCCAGAGACTCAGGGGAGAGGAGGGGTCTCTGGTCCTAAGGATGATCATGTCCCCCACCTACCTCTGTCAGTGAGGTCTCAACGGACTCTCTGACACCATCAACCCTTCTTCTCTACCCAGGCTACTAAAATGGCCACATACCAGGTGGTGGAGCTGCGGATCCTTACCAACTGGGGCCATCCCGAGTACACCTGCATCTACCGCTTCCGGGTGCACGGGGAGCCTGCTCACTAGCCCTGTGAAGCTTCTCATGCCTGCTGCCAGCCATCTGGGAGGCTTGCCCCTCCCACATGTACCCCTACTCTAGGAGTGCGTGTGCAGCACCCCACCTCCAACCCCACAAGCTTGATCAGCGCTCTGACTTCCAGGAGCAAGAAAGAAGAGCCCTGGCCCTGGGGAGATGAGAAAGAATGTGCAGGGTTTTGTCAAGCAGCGGGCAGCCCACAGTGGCCAGCAGGTTCCAGTGCTTCCAGCACCCTTCCTTCTCCAGACTGGGCTGGCACCATGGGGAGTATATAGCATACCAGGGGGGTGGGGAGGCAGGAGGCAGGGCCACCACCCAGAGAGCTCCTGGTGGGGGTAAAGCAGGTGGGAAGCCATGGTGGGCCCCACCTGACCGGGGGAGGAGGTTGCTCAATATCCAACTGCTGTGCTCTGCCCGCGAGGCTGGTGTCACGGATTGGCCCGCGGGGATCCCAAGGGGCTTCTTCAGAGGCCTGTTTTATCCTGGGTAGAGGTGGGCCACGGGGCTTCTTATACCCTGGCGGGGACTGCTCCTGTGCACCTCTTAAGGCTGCTGCCTATGCCAACCTGTTGGAGTCCCCTGTGCTGGGGGCAACCTCGGCTTTTTCTCTCCTGATGCCAGGGCAAAGCCTGCTCTGCCCCCCATTCCTGCTAGGGCCCGCCTGTGTCCCAGAGCAAGCTTCCCACATTCTCCAGCTGCAGGGGCCTAGGTCTGCCTTTGGGGTCATTAGCATTTGGGGTTACCTAGGAGGGAGGGGACAGGAGACCTCCTTGTCCAGTGGTAATGACCGTGACAGTGCCATATGACCCAACAGTGCCATTCAGGGTGTCAGGTGGGAGGAGGGCTGTCTGCAATGAGGAGAGGGGCTTTAGACCCACGGCCCTGCTGTATAATGTATATATTTTTCAAGGTCTGTTTTTTTAACTTCAAAGCTAACGGCTTGATTCTTAGCCCCGTTCTGTGGGGCACTGGGTGGTTCTCAGCGGGGCTTGGTCCTGGCCTGTGGGGAGGGGGCAGGACCTGACTTGGCTCTGAGGCTCAGGTGACGATGAAGTAGTGGCCCCTGCACAGCCCTGCCCCTGCCCCGAGACAACCAAGTCTCGTTCTGCGCTCTCCTGTCACAGATGCTGCACTGTTGGTTTTTAATTTTTTATCTTCAGATTCTAATTTATGGCTATGCAAAAATAAATAAATAAAAGGATGCCAGGATCAGCAGAGCATGGCTCTTCTCTGGCAGCTGCTCTTGGGGAAATGGGGCAATGAATTCTTAGTCACATCAGTGTCCCCAAAGGCTTACTCCTGAAATCTGGAAACCCAGGGCATTTGGTCAAAACCCAGTCATGACGGGGTTGGGACACAAGGCAAGATCCTCTCCAGTGTTTCTGGGCTCAAGGGCTGTCAGGAGGAAAAAAAAAAAAAAAAAAAAATGGCTTTAGGAGCTGTCACTAATACTCCATGCAGAAGAGGCCTTTCCTGTCTGTCCCACTGGGATAGGCTCCTGCTTCTTCACCTCTAGGGTGTCAGTGAGCAGGTGGACCCATCTATAAAGTGGTCATCTAGCCCTCTCCATCCACATGCCATCCTAGGACCTTGCTCCTGGTAAAGATCCCACAGATTCCTGCTCAAGTACAGAAGGGTCAGGCCACTGATTTGAGATCAAAGGATCAACAAGTTTATTCTTCATCAACTACAAATGGGCTGGTGTTCTGTTCCAAAGGGACACATGGGAAGGCTAAGACCTGAAGAGACCTGTCAATGACAGTAAACACTGAATTCAGTTAACTCCTTGCTGGCAGGTGTGGGACTGGGGACCAGAGCCACCCTCCTGAGTGGAGGCAGGGGCCAGGGTCATAGCTAGAGCTCCTGAGCACACAGAATGGCTTTGGCATCCACCACTGCTTATAGGGGCAAAGAGGTTAAAAAAAAAAAAGGAAGTTTGGCCATGGCTAGAGCCCTGCCCTGCCCGGCCCGCCCCAGAGCCTCATCAAGAAGGCACCAGGGGGGCTGGGGATGTGGCTCAAGCGGTAGCGCGCTCGCCTGGCATGCGCTCGCCTGGCATGCGTGTGGCCCGGATTCAATCCTCAGCACCACATACAAACAAAGATGTTGTATCCGCCGAAAACTAAAAAATAAATATTAAAAAAAAAATTCTCTCTCTCCCCCTCTCTTTAAAAAAAAAAAAAAAAAAAAGAAGGCACCAGGCCAGAGCCAGCAAAGCTGATGGGAAACAGCAACACACAGAGATGGCAAGAGCCCAAGGACAAGCCAGGCAGCCAGTGGGGAGAGCCGCAGGGATGTCGCTGGTGCAGGCCGTGCTCAACATCCACCGTGCCCACCCCCACCAGCTTGTTTCCTCAACTAGGAAACCAGAGCTAACAGAGATGGTAGCCGTGTTATGTCCACAGCCATGTGCATGTGAACCCACCTGGCAGTCCTGGCCACTCAGCAGACACCCCAGTGCCATGCTTCTCTCCAGCTGCCCAAGGCGCAGGGCCTCAGGCAGGCACTCAACCCACACAGCCCCTGATGCAAGATCTTCTGCTTGCAGATGAGGAAACAAAACAAGGGTAGAAACGTCCCGTGTGACAGAGTTGGCCAAGGAGCCTCACCTGCCTGGAGGGAAGCAGGGTTCTTGGTGGCCAGCCCTGCTGGGCTGCCACCAGGCACTGAGGAGCAGGCAGATCCACAGTGTCCCTGTGGCAGCATCTCCACACAAGGGCCAGACAGGGAACAGGACACTGTCAAGTTGGAACAAACTTTTATTGTGAATGCTGGTCTGGTCAGTCCAGGGCCACAGGGCAGTGGTAACTAGAAACAGCTAGGAGGGAGGAAAGGACAGGAGAGGGCTGGGGACAGGAAAGAGGCAAGGCTGAAGGACCTAGCCCACCGGGTGTCTGCCCTGGCTAGAAAAGACCCCTTGTCCCTCTCACCCTAAATGAAGGGCCTCAGAACAGCTCAATCCTGGCAGGACGGGGCCATGTCACTGTCTGGTCTGAGCAGCCTTACTTCCCAATGCTTCACAAGGGCTAAATGCTCTGTGCTGGGCCTGACAGTCCTTCTCACTGCCCCACATGCCCTCCCTGTGCCCTAACTGGGGTTCAAACCCTGGGGCTCAAGCCCTTCACTGCTGTGCTCCAGGAGCTGCTCTGCTGGGTAGACACGGCGGGACCGGGGAGTTCCAGTCCTAGTCCCACTCACAGCAATGCCTCCTTTCCCAACAACAGGAGGCGCTAGAAAATGGGATCCTGAGCAGGTCCAGACCCAGCCTTGTACCAGTGCCCAGAGGCCAAAGTCCAAGCAGGAGGTGGCTCGTGGGCAAGAGACCCTCCAGACCGGGCAGACTGGCACAAGCCAGGAACAGCCGGGCCAGCCCAGGCAAGCACAGGATTGTCTCCAAGGGGAAGCCACCAGGTCTTTGGATCCACGGCAAGGGCCAGAGTTAGGGGAGAGTCCTACAGTCCAGTCACCATTCCTTCCACACGTCACAGTTATGACTGAAGAGTTTTTGTCATTACCTGTTTGAGGGTTTAAGGGGAAAAAGAGGGACAGAAAAGGGAAGCCACTACTTTCTCCCTGTTAAAATCCCCAGGATTGAGGATGCCCTGCTCTGGCAATGGAAGACACCAAATCCCAGAAGCCCCTGCCCTGAGGTCAGTCTGGTGGAGAGGCTGCCAGTGCCCAGAGGAGCAGTGAGCTGAGGCTGCGGTGGCTCCGTGAGCTCCTGCCATCCCCTAAAGGCTCTGAGGCTCTCACCAAGACAGACACGTGGATGGAGGGACAGATGGTTAGTCAGGCAGCCAGCTCCTGGAGACTGGTGGCCGGCCACGGAGGAGAAAAGGGGAGAGACTGACAGGGCCCTGGTGGGCCTCACTCCTGCAAAACACACACACCCACACTCACACACACTCACACACACAATCACTGAGAGAGAGATATAATAAAAAGAATAAAAACTAAGGGCCAGATGTACAAAAGACGCATGAGTGAAGAAGGAGGCAGGGAGGGGCAGGAGACGGTCAGTCCTCAGGAAGCCTGGCCGCCTTCCTCAGCTTATAAATTACAACCCCCTGGAAAACAGGGGTGGGCAGCGAGGAGGCTCTGGCTGGGGCCTGGGGTGGGCGGGTGGCGATCAGAGCTGCTGTGCCCAGCTGGTGAGCAGTGGCCAGAGAGTGAGAATCCCTGGGTGGTAGGAATGAACCAGGGAAGATTCAGCAGCCGCTGGCAGGAGTCACACAGGCCCCCTGGGACTTCACCTTGTGGCGCTGGCCCCCTCGTCGCCGACCCCCACTGCCGGGCTTGGGCTGAAAGAGAGAAGAAGAATTTGAGAAGCACTGGTCCCTCAGGAGCAGGGCAGCAGAGGGGCAGTGGGCAGGCCAGGGAGCCTAGCCCCAGCCTAGCCAGGAGTTTATGAGGTGACCATGCACAGGACCTCCTGTCTGTAAAATGGAGCTATTTAGAGAAACAGTCAAACATGAGTGGACATTTACCACTGCTGAGGTGGTGACAGGTGGACAGGGACAGAAAAGAAGGAATAAGAGAGGCTCAATGAGGAGCGGGGAGTGTGAAAGCATGGGGGGCACACAGACCCAGGAGAAGCCTCCTTTGCCGGTCAGAGGAGAAAGACACTAGAGAGGTGCACAAGGGTGCCCGTCCTGGCGGCACACACAGCTTCTGAAGAGGCAGCCACAAGCAGGTGCCAGCACCTGCTACACAGAACATCCAAGGCCACCTCCCTTCACTCTGGCAAGGGACAAAGGAGGACCTCTAAGGCAGCGTTCCTCAAACTTGCTGGACTGCTGTACACACACATCACTCACACAAATAATATTCACTCTTACAATGAACCTAAACCCTGCCCTCGGTCCACTCTATTTCATTAAAATCAAATGCTAGTCAGGACCAATTAAATTGGCTTTCTGTGGGCCAGCCATGTCTCTTTGTTTGGAAAACAACTTTGATGTTACCCACGTGCCAGGAGCTGTGGAAGTGCTCCTCTCCATGCAAGGGCTCTCCTGTGGTCCCCCTCTACCCAATCAGCCACACCCTTTCCTGCCACCCTGCTCAAGGCCACAAGAGGCCCGCTCACCTGTGGCTGGAGACTGCTGGATGCGGCTGGCTGCCCCGTGGCTAGAGAGGAAGCCTCATCTCCAGGCAGGGCTGCCCCTACTGCCAGCCCACCAGATGGGCCCCCTTCTTCTCGTTTGGTCAGAGGTCCTTTTTTTGTTGACTGCATTTTAATCTGCTGGGGCTTGGAGTTCATTGGCGAGTTGTTGGTGGTCTGGAGGAGCTGTGAGAGACGTGGGAATGAGGGTGAGGCCAGAGCTGAAGGGCAGCATAGGTTTAGCAGCCTGCCCCGTGTCCCTGTCCCTGCTCCATTCTAAGGGACTTCTCATGCTTGGCTAGCTTGGCTGGTCCCAAATAAGGCAGATGATAGAAGGACCATGCCAGGAGGTGGAGTCGACAGATCTTCCCATCCTTATTCTACTATGGACTACTATGACCTCAGGACTGTCACGTCATCTCCTGCCTCTGTGCACCCAGAAAGCTCCCAGTCCAGCTGTCATTCCTGCAGAGAACTTCCTGAACCTCTCTGCCACCTAGTACTCAATCAGCTCCTTGGCTGGAATCTAGCCTGGTCAGTCTGCTCTAGGCCAAGTTTTAACTTCAAGCCTCCCAAAGAGGCCAAGTGGATTCCTTATCAGCTGGAAATATTTGTAGCCTATCAGAAATCGTAAAAGCTACCACCCTGACACAGAAGCTTCCCCTGTGGCCCAAGTTCAATCTCAAAAATAGCAAGGAAGAAGCCTACTAAGTCCCAGAGAGTACTACATGTATGCTGTAGTCTCTGCCAAACTCTCAGCCCCAGAGGCAAGCAGGCCTTTAAGGAAATGGAGGGCCTGAGGAAGGCCATTTGGGAGGAAGGGGTAGTCTGTGGCTGATTCCAAGATCTTGGATTTGTGGAGACCACTTCTTCCTCTGAATAAACAGGGGTCAAACTCCTCATCAAATGTCCATGGCCATGGGTAAGGTCTGCAGAGGGCAAAAGGTGGGCTCTGAGACACACGAACAGCTTCTGCCCCAAGGGACTGCACACCCATGTACCCTGAGCTGTTCAGCACTCATTCCAACAGGACTTGCTGCCCTCGTCCCTCAGGTATAGCCCCAACCAGGCCAAGAGATACTCTGCCCACTGCTGCCCACAGGAGAAC